ACGCTGGGAAATCAGGGCCGCGCCACGCACTGGAAGGGTTGTCAGGGCCGCCCACGAACCGGGAGGGAAGTCAGGGCCGTGCCACGCGCCGGGAGGGTAGTCAGGGATGTGCCACACACCGGTTCAGATGCTTCCAGTGTCCACTGGGCTCCCCACCCACTCCGGGAGAAAGTGGGAGCTCAGGGGCACCCTCAGCAAGGTGCTGTGTCCACACTCGGGGGTGGTTTCTGATGGAGGAGGGGATTTGCAGGAGGAGGGGAGAACCCCAGGAAGAAGGAAAGGCCCCAAGGCCCATCACGGGGCCACCCTGCTGGACTGAGGAACAGCGCAGGGGTGCGTGTGGCAGACGTGGAGCTCGGATTTCATCCTGCAGGCCTGCGTGTGCCCAAGAGCCAGCCTGGGATCCCTTGAACGCATGTGTGCCGATGTCCTAAAAGCTCGTGAAAGCAGCTGAACCTTTCCTGACATCGCAGAAGGCGGCAGGAGGAGTCCGCACACCGACAGGCTAAGATCCCAAACCCCCGTCATCACTGTGATGTGGGAAGGGGACAGGGCGCAAGTCCCACCGACAATTCCAAAAGAAAGCTTCACACGCAAACCCAAAGCACGTCAATCCGCTGAGCGTTCATTTTCTTTTTTTGAGACAGGGTCTCACTCGGTCTCCCGGGCTGGGGTGCAGGGGTGTGATCTGGGCTCACTGCAGCCTCGGCCTCCCAGGCTCCAGCGATTCTCACACCTCAGCCTCCCGAGTAGCTGAGACTGGTGGCGTGCAGCACCATGCCTGGGTATTTTTTTGTATTTTTAGTAGACATGGGGTCTCACCATATTGCTCAGGCTGGTCTCCTGGGCTCAAGCGATCCACCTGCCTTGGCCTCCTGCAGGCATGTACCGGCATACCCAGTGAGATCCACTTTCTTCACATGCCAACAAAATGAGTGGCCCTAGGAGGCGGCGGCGGGGGGGGGGGGGGGGGGGGGGGGGCAGAGGCAGGCCAAGTCCTCACACATGCGGAGATGGTTCCTAACAGATGCCCTAAGGCAAGCACTAGAAAATTAAAACAGGGTAAATATCTCTCTAGCAACTAGTGAAAAGTGGAGTGAAATGTGGCACAGCCACCGGGAGCTAGAAAACAGCAAACACACAGCGAAACAGGACACCCGCCATCCTGAGATGACGGGAACAAATCCAGCGCTGGTGAGAGCAGAGCGACGAACGAGCAGATTTGCCCCGGCGCCGTTTGCCTATACGTTCCGAGTTAATGTTGGTGTAAGTCATGAGATTTAGGTCAAAGTTCCTTTTTTTTTTTTGCCTCTAGAGGTCCGATTCTTCCAGCACCATTTGTTGAAAAGCTATTTTTCCACTGAATCGTTTTTACACCTGTGTCAAAAATCAGGTGGGCATATTTGTGTGCATCAGTTTCGGGGGTTTTCTGTTCTGTTCCGTTGGTTGGCAGTCTACCCGGCTGCCCACATGCCACTTTCTCAATATGGTCACTGTGGAGAAGGTTTTAACATCCACGCCAGCTAGAGTGATGACCCCACTCTTTTCTCCCTTGCTTCAGGGTTAGTTTTTTTTTTTGAGTCTCACAGTCGCCCAGGTTGGAGTGCAGTGGTGCAGTCTCGGCTCACTGCAACCTCCGCCCCCTGTGTTCAAGTGATTCTCCTGCCTCAGCCTCCTGAGTGGCTGGGATTACGGGTGTGCATCACCGCGCCCAGCTAACTTTTGTATTGTTTAGTAGACATGTTGGCCAGGCTGGTCTCGAACTCCTGACCTCCTGATCCGCCCGCCTCAGCTTCCCGAAGTGCTAAGATGGCAGGCATGAGCCTCCATGCTCGGTCAAGATTGTTTTAAGTATTCTGGGTCCTTTGCCTTTCCTCATAAATTTTATTTTTTTCTTTTATCTTCTCAATCCCCACCCTTAACCCAAGCCCCCAGCAACCACCACTCTACTCCCAGCTTCTAAGAGGGGTTGACGTAGCTAGACTTCACGAATATGTGAGATGGGTGGTGTGTGTCTTTCTACACCCACCTGATTTTACTTAGCATGGCATCCTCCAGGCTCGCCCATGGTTCTGCTCCTTTTTGAGGGCTGCATAGTACTCCACCGTGTGTGTCCCACATTTTCTTCATCCATCCACTGACAGGCAGAAAGTCAAGGGCGGGGCCTGTCTCCACTGTCCCACCAACACCCTAACAGCCTCCCCTCGGCCACTCTCCCACTGGTCTTCCTGTTGTGGAGGCCAGGCTGCCCAGGGAGGCTGAGGCTGGAGGCAAGATTTGGCCATCTTTGCCAGGGCTCAGGGACGCAGCCTCATCTCAGGCTGGAAGGGCCGGCAGAGGCTGCTAGACCAATGCTCCAAAGCCCCGTGGGCCAGGAGGGGCCAGGGAGGCCACAAGCTGTGGAAGAGGAGATCTCCAGAGGGTCAAGGGATACGCCCTATGTGCCTGCCCTTGGGGCCCCGACCCCTCTGCCCGTGGCAGGAATCCAGCCTTCCTTCTGACCCTGCATCCCAGGCTTGGGGCCCAACCACCCTGTGAGACAGACACCCCTGGGGACCTGGGTGCCAGGGCAGGGAGAGGCCGCCCCCCATCGACACATACCTTTGACAGTCCAGGTCATCTACGGGGTGACGCTGGCCATGACAGCCTTTCCCTACCCCCAAGTCAGGCAGGGTTCAACTGGGGTTAAGGCTAACCGGTGCTCCAGTCCCTCCCCACCCCCAGCAGTGGGGGCCCTCCTGCTGGCTGCCCTGAAAGCTTCGGCTTCAGTCCCTCAGCGTTTCCTCACAGCAGCGTCCGCGCCGTTCAGGTCACTGTGGCGGGAGCACCTCTGCTGTGTGTGAAGCTGAAAGCAGCTGAGGCTTGGTGGCAGCTTGGGTTGCCCGGGCATGAGACTCCAGGCCCTGGTGAAGGAGCCAGGCAGGAAGGGCTGGTGGGGCAGGAGGTCCTAACACAGCCCCCACCATCTCAGACTGGCCTGGGAGGAGGGAAGGAGGGAGGGAGGGAGGGGATCCCCGCATCACCTGGGAGGAGGGAAGGAGGGAGGGAGGGAGGGGATCCCCACATCACCTGGGAGGAGGGAAGGAGGGAGGGAGGGAGGGGATCCCGCATCACCTAGGAGGAGGGAAGGAGGGAGGGAGGGAGGGGATCCCTGCATCACTGGGAGGAGGGAAGGAGAGAGGGAGGGAGGGAGGGGATCCCCGCATCACTGGGAGGAGGGAAGGAGGGAGGGACGGAGGGAGGGAGGGGATCCCCGCATCACTGGGGGGTTAAAGGAAGGCTCTGTGCCTCCAGGGTGCTTGTTAGCTCTGCTGATCCCCACTGAGCGCCCCCATCTGAGCCTTCCCTTCTCTTCTAGATGAGCTGAGAACGGGAGGAGGGTGCAGAGGGGGACAGTGTGCCGGCCCCTCTCCCGGCTCCTGCACCTCACATCACATGCCACCTGCAGTGGTCACAATGGGCCCCAGACCTCAGGTCCTGATAGGTGGCCATGGCAAGCCACAGAGCCACCTCCAGGACCCTCAGGAGGTGCGTCCAGGCTGAGGGGACAGTGGGGGCCCCAGCGGAGGAGCTCCCGGAACATTCTGGGGCAGCGAGGGGGACATTCTGGGGACAGCGAGGGGGTCTGTGTGGTGGAGCAGAGTGAGCCCAGGGAGGCAGCAGGGGCCCCAAGGTCAGCTGAGTAGCCCAGGCTCCTCACCTCCCGTGGGGTTAGGCTGTGCCTTCCAGGACCTCCTCCAGCCCGGGGCCTGGCCGTGCTGATGCAGAGGGAGACCCAGGGGCCTGAGGTCAGAGGCTGTGGCCTAAATATAACCTGTGAGCAGGCGCTGCCTGGGTGGCCTCGAGGATGGGAGGGTGCAGGCCCAGGGTGGGAGGGTGGGGACCTGTGAGATGGGGGCTGTTGGCAGGGGCGGGGAGGGCCGCAGCCGCAGGGCAGAAGCCACAGGCAGGAGCCACCGCTCACTCCCTCGCTGGTGTTTCTGCAGCAGGGCCCGGGGAAGAGGACGGGACTCTGCTGGGGGTGGGGTGGCCCCAGGAGCCCAGCCACACAGTCTGGCTGTGCGGTATCCAGGCATTGAGAGGATCTCAGGGCCGAGTCTTGGGGTCAGCCCTGGAGGGTGCTGGCATCCTGGGGTGAGGCTCCTTGCTTGTCCATTTCGGGGCACTCCAGGGGTTCTGAAGCTCACTAAGGTTGTCTTTAGGGGGTTGGATAAAGATAGTCAACACTCAGAAGAGCAGCGCGGTGCCTGAAAATGCCGGGAAGAGGCGTCTGCCACCAGGCGACCAGCGGCCAGGGTGGCCGCTTTCAGGAGAGCAGGTCTGAGGGGCCGGTGACGCAGATGCAATGTCTCCGCACCAGGACCCCGCGGGGCGAGGGGCCCTCACTCCGCCCTCCAGCACCCGCCCGGCCTTCCTCCTCCCACTGCAGCGCCTGTGAGTCGCAGGGAGACGGGCTTGGGTTGTCTTCTCAGGTGACGAGCTGGCCATCAGGGCAGGGCGGCTGCTCCCTGGGCTCCTCCGGCCTCTTCACCCCCCTTTTGGAGGGAGCCGCCCCCTCCTCAGGGCTCAGACGCCAGCTCTACCTGGAGGTGCCGGTCACCCCACCCAGGAAGAGGGGCTGGATGCTTGGCTCCCGGCTCTCTCCCCAACCCCTGTCCCTGATGCCCAGGAGTTGTCACCTGTGTCTTCAGGGTCAGCACAGATGCACGTAACCAGCCTGGGGTTCAAGAAAGGGAGGCGGCGGAGACGGTGGGGTCTGCACAAAGCAGGCACCTGGCTGAGGCTCTGTCCCGCCCCCTGTTCTCAGCCTGAGGCTGACCTTGACCTTCACGTCCAATTGGGATACCCTAACCCCTCAGACATAGGTCAGGACTCTGGCAAACCCCCCGGTTGTCCCGCCAGACTCTTGGCTGGCCTTGCTGTCTCATCGACCACCGCATTGGCATAGGGGTCAGGGTTGGCACTCAAATAAATGCCTTTTAGGAGAAGGAACGTAGGAGGCTGGGTGCAGTCACCAAGGCAGACGGGCAGGGGCGGAAGGAGGCTGGGCAGGTGACAGGGTGGCCGGGCCACAGCGTGCCCCAGGGGGCCTGGCTGGTGAAGGTGAGCCCAATCAGGAGGCAGTACGACGTGACGTGGGTCTGCGTTTTCTCCTCTTCTTCCTGGTGGCTTACATAAGAGGGGGGGCAATGGGGGCAGCAGGGACACGGCTTCAGGCTGAGGTTCCCCCACTCAGCGAAGCCCTTTCTCTTCTCTCTGCCCCCGCCTGCTTGGGGCATTCTTGGCTGGATCTGCTCCTGACAGAAGGGATGCGTGTTGCCAGGGGCGGGGGCTTGGCGTGTGTGCACGCGAGAGTATGTGTGTGTGTTTAAGATACAGAAAAAAGAAGCGTGCCTATACTCTGCCGCGAGGCGCTGGCCAGACTCCATCCGTGCCAAGTCCCCTCCGAGCCAGCGCCGGGGACTCCGGAGGCACCAGGAGGAGGAAGGTACAGGCGGCGTGCGGTGAGGATGGACGCATGCCACCGACGTGTGCCAATGGCTGCACGCGCCAAACACCCACCCACAAAACCCCACGATCGCTGGCAGCCGTGGCTGGAGGCGGCCGCCGTTGGCAGAGGAGCCGGGGAGGGCAGGTGGATCCCAGCAGCGGCAGCGCAGGTAAAGGGTTCGGGCTTGAGTGCTGTGGGTACCTGGCACCTTCATTGGGTGCCAGAGGCCGGGGTCGGATCACAGCCTGGCTCTGGGTTGCAGGGCGTGGCAGCGTTGAGGAGGGCTGAGTCCCACGGGGGGTCTGGGCCAGCCTGGTAGGCGACGCCTCCTCCCAGCTCCCCCAGCGCTGCCCTGGGGCATGTTTGCCTGGGCGTGCTTGGCCCTTGTCCTCCAGGGAGCTAGGCTGGGCGGGCTGGGTGGGGCCAGCACGGGATGCCCATGGGGGCTGCGTGTTGGGCTTTCCTCTGGGGTCTCATGGCTTTGTCACCTCCGCCTGATGCACTGGGGCTCCCAGGGCCAGCGCCCCAGATGGTCCCTGAATGTTGGGTGCACTCCCCAGGCATGGGCTGGCAGGGTAGGCTGCAGGGTGGCACCTCAGGGTCCAGGGTTCCTGCGGAGCACGCCTGCCCTCCCTCCCATCTTCCCAGAGCCCCCTGCCCCACCTCTTGCAACCTGGCTGTGCGGAAGGATGGGATGGACGCCAAATGTGCCGTAGCAGGAGTGTGGGTGGCGGTGCCCCGAGCCCGGCCGCTGAGAACGGGAAGGAGCCTGGGGTGAGGGACTCCCCAACAGCTGCAAGGCAAAGTGCTGCTGCCCTTCCCACAATTACAGGCGGGCAGAAAGAGCTGGGGGCCGTGGGAGGGGGGATTTTCAACTTTAGAAAGGTGGGCAGCCCCCAGGTGGGCTGGCGTGGAGCTGGCAGGGCTGGGAGTGTTAGTCCGGGTGTCTGGCTGTGGCCCCTCGGGGTGATCCATGGCAAGCAGCATCAGCTGGCAGAGGCTGGCACAGACCCACGCCCTGGCAGGGGCACGGCACAGAGGGGCCCTGGTCATGTGGGGGATCCATGCTGGCCGCCATCCCAGCCATTGCTCTGGTCAGCCAGTCCAGTCCCAGAAAGAAGGTTCCAACTGAGGGGTGATGGGAGCACATGGGCAGGGCTGGGGGAGAGGCAGCGGGTGGCCGGGAGGAGGCTGGGCTCGAGGACTTTAAAAATCCAAGCCTGGAGCCTGGCTGGCCCACAGGAGCCTCCACCCTGAAGGGGCTAGGAGGGGGCTCGGAGGCCAAGGTCAGGATCCTGGGCTGGGCTGAGGGGCAGGGAGGGCTGAGGGAGGTGGAGGAGGGCAGCAGCGGTCTGGTCCAGATGCCCAGGGGTCAGGGCAGAGGCCGGGGACACAGAGTCCTGGGGTCAGGGCAGAGGTTGGGGACACAGAGTCCCGGAGTCTGAGCAGAAGCTGGGGACACAGGGTCCTGGTGTCAGGGAAGAGATGGGGGACACAGGGTCCTGGTGTTGGGCAGAGGTTGGGGACACAGGGACCTGGGGTCAGGGAAGAGATGGGGGACACAGGGTCCTGGTGTTGGGCAGAGGTTGGGGACACAGGGTCCTAGGGTCAGGGAAGAGATGGGGGACACAGGGTCCTGGGGTCTGGGTTATGCTTCAGAACTTTGGGGCAAGGCTCAGAGCCACACAGAGGCCCAGCCTCAGAGGTCCTGGGGGCGGGAATGGGGCGGGGCTCCAATGATTGGCTGCCCTCAGCTTCCTTTTCCTCTTGAGCCCACAGTCCCGGGAGGCTTCAGCCTGACGCCGGCCAGCACTTCACAACAGGGGCTTTCCATTCCAAGTCCTGATGTGGGGGCGCCGTGGGGGGCAATGCCCGGTGGACCTTGGCACAGTAAGCGTCCCTAACAGGTGTCTGGACACAGTCCTGCACCCACTGCCCTCTTCCGGCGTGGCCAAGCATGGGTGCTGGTGGCATAAACACTCAGGCTGCCAGACTCGGGGACAACAGCGTCCCTGGCCCCTCAGGCTCAGGGCAGGGCGCACACATTCTAGGATTCCCAGAGAAGACTCGGGTGGGCGAGGTGCCGGCTGGAACCCTGGCCTGGGGTCTGCGCTGGGCGTGGGGGTGGCAGCAGCTATGGGTTCCTGGTCTCAGCCGTGAGGACAGTGGTGTGAGTGGGTGCCCCAGGCCATGGGCCTGGGTGGGAAGGGTCAGCAGGTGGCTGTCGGGGAGCGAGGAGGTCGGTCCTGCCGTCACCCCCACGTCACCCACAGGTGCACCCGCGTGGGGATGGTTTTGGTCAGGAGAGCAGGCTGGCCGGCCCACAGCAGTAACAGTGGACGCCGGAGGGGACCCTCTGCCTGCCGCAGCCCCCCTCCCTCCGCCTCTGAGTTTCACAGTTCCTGCTTCCCGCTCTGGCTCAGAGCCCCCAAGAGACTGCTGCCAGATGTTCCCGGCGGCCCCACATCGCCTCCCTAATGAAATATTCATGGGACCTTTCTGCCTCTTGACATAAAGCCTTCCGCAGCTCCACACACCATGGAGATGGGGCCGGCCTCCCAACAAGCCCAGGAAGGAGTGGGCACCCGGCCAGCCCCACCCCCTGTGCCAACTCTGGGTGCCCACTCCCAGTGCGCCAACCCCAGCTGCCCACTGTGCCTCCCGAGACAGAGGCTGGGCCTCCGCCTCCCTTTTGCCCTGCTAAGGGTCAGGGGTCCGGCTGCCTACACCCCCGTCTGCCTCCTGAGAGCCCAGTGCCAGCTGTGTGGGCACATCAGCCCTGGGGCTGGGCTCTGGAGGGAGGACAGCCGCCACGCGGCACAGGAGGGAGCCAGAGCCACCCTCACAGGCCTGGGGAGGACAAGCTCTAACTCTCTCTTCCTTCAGTACCTTGGCGGCCGACAGCTCCCTACCCCATGCCAGCAAGGCTGGGCTCCTGCAGCCCACCTCACCCCTTGCTGTGTGGCGGCTAGCCTGGCCTGGCCTCGCAGTGACCTGCTGTCATCTGTCCACGCCTCTGTCCATGTGCTCATGCACCCGGTGCCGGCAGGGAGCCGGCTCGCACCAGGTCCAGTGCATGGAGACCAGACTTCATGCCCAGCCCCGCGCTCCGGGTGTTCACGCACCCCCAGCCAGGCAGTGAGGGCGGAGGACCTCGGGCCAGGGCTGGTGAGGCCAAGAAGGACGAGGTGGACAGGTTTCCAGGGGCCTGGGAGCTGTGTGAGGAGTAAAAAGGGGCCAGGCTGCGAGTTCCTCACAGAGGGGACCTTTGTGCCCCAGGTCAAAGGAGAGGGGGTCCGGCCCAGGCCAGCCTTTGCTCAGTCCACAGGCCCTGTCTGGCTCTGCCGGGCCTCCTCACAGCCCTGGGCTGCAGGTGGTGGCCACAGTGAGGCCCCTCTGGGTCAGAGTCTGCCCCACATGGGGTGCCCTCTCTGGGTGGCTAGCCCTGGGCTCCCCTCTGGCTGTGCAGGGCCGGCCTCAGCTGTGAGGAGCCCAGCGGGCTTGCTGGGGGCCGCAGGGTTGCCCTGGCCTCTGGGACTCCCACGCCCTCCTTGCTCCTGGCCTCGGGTCAAGCCTTTGTCTTCAGTGGGCATCTCAACCTTAACTGTCACCTAGAGCGGCAGGGAAAGGGTTACACGACCATTCACAGAGGCACTCAGCCTCCGCATTAGGGGAGAGAGACCTGAAGAGAGACCACGTTGCTTCCCTGAGGCGACCAGCGGGATGGGCCAGAGCCAGGAAGGAGGCTGCCATGTGTGTCCTGGAGCCCACGGCCAGCACAAGCAGCCGGGACCCTCCCGGGAGCCAGCTCCCTGTCCAGGATGCCCCAGCTCTCCTGAGCTCACTGACCAGGGATTTGGCCAGTGCCCCTCCCCCATGAGGCCGCCTTGCGCCCTGAGCTGCTGGGGGGTAAGAACTCTGCCTGTGGTGTAGAAATAAAGCACATTCCACAGAACAAATGGTGTCAATTTGCAGCAGCGCCGCAGCTCCGCCGCAATGAGCGGTTGCACGCAGAGAATCGGCGGCCCGTGCGGCCCGCGGAGGGACAAAGCATCCCAGCCCGGCTCCGGCACCGCGGCCCTTCAGGCGAGAGTCGGCTCCAGGAAGCGAAGGAGCAGCTGCTGGGGCCCCTCTTGCCTCCCAAAGGCTCTTGCCAGAGCAAGCAGTGAGCACCCCAGGTCCCACCTGACTGCTCTGCCTGGCCAGGTGTAGTGGCCTCCAGAACAGCCACTTCCAGAACAGAGGCCACTGCCTGTCCGGCCCAGCGGCCTTGTCCCATCTCAGCTGCTGTCACCCCACCAGGCCCCCAAAATGTACTCTGGGGCTCACCCCACCATGAAGCCTGGGGTCTCACTGCTCCTTTCCCAGACGGCCACTTTTCTTCCTTACGTGAGGATCACGCTCCAGGCCTTGCTCCAAGCCCTCCCTGCCCTGGGACATCTACCCGCCTGCCTGGTGACCTCTTCCGGTACCCACTCCTGGGCTGCTCAGAGCTGCTGCTGCCTGTTGATGAGCAGTGTGGGCGGCCCGGAGATTCACCACCTGGAAGCTCCGTTTCCTGCCCCGGCTGCCGTCCCCGCAGTGATGAGCACCTGCCCTGCGTGTTAGGACCGAGCTGCACACTGCACCTTACATCCTCACGAGCGGCTCCGGGAGCCCCTGCAGCCAATCAGTTTCACAGCATCATCCATGTGTGTGGCCGTTGAGACTGGCACAGGCCCACTGGACGCCTTTACCTGGAGACCAGGGCTGTTCTCCCTGGATGGCAGGAAGGCAGCAGGTGGGAGGCAGGGGGGCAGTGCTGGCTCCACGGGTCCTCCTGAGTTGAGGACCAGGCGCTTCCCTGCGTGCGTCTTGCTCTGGCCGTAGGCCCTGGGCTTCTGCTGCTCCTCTGGGGGTACAAGGGCCGTCCTGGAGTTCCATCTTCTCTTGGGAACCTAGAGAGCCCCGTGGCTCCTTCGGAGGTCAGAGGGCAGTGCCGTGCACTTAGAGGCATCTGGGAATGCCTCTGGGTTTTGGATGGATGGACAGATGGGCAAATTAACAGGACCCTGCACTTGGAATCACAAAACTTTAGGCAAGAAAGGGTCATTAGAGAGCATCTAGTCCAATACTCTAACGGGACAGGAGGGAAACTGAGGCTAGTCACAGCCCTTGGCCTAGCCAGGGAGACAGTCCACCGGCTGCTCCTGCATCCCCCACAGCCCAGGTTCACACATCTTCCTCCAGGTCAGGGAGGGCAGGGACAGTCTTTAGGTCCTGAGACCCCAGCCCTACCTACCTGCCTGCCTGCCTGGCAAGGACGCCCCTATCAGATTGCACAGTAAGGCAACCAGGCTGGGTCTGACACCCACAATCCATCAGCCTGCTGGTCTTTACACATTCTGGGAGAGGCAAGAATCTCTTCCTCTTGGCTATTCTGCTAAGAACACACATTATTTGGAAGTCTTGGGTTTCGTCTAATGTAAATCCCTCAGGCCGTGCGTGACCTAAGCTCTGGCCTCGGAGGTCTGGGCCTCTCCAGCAGTGGGTCTCCGTTTCTGCCTGGATGAGCCTCGGCTTTGGTCTTCACCCCCTCACTGGAAGCCATGGCCATGAGGACATGGGGAGAATATAGGGCTATGAACTTGGCATTTTGGTGTCAGAAGGACCCAGGTTCAAGTTCAGGCTCTGTCACTAGCTAGGGACCTGAGTGTCTTCATCTGTAGACAGAGGAGAGGAACACATACGTCAAAAGAGCTGTGCATATTCAATGTGGTCTTACGTCTAAGCCCTTCTGCATGATGTCTGTCACCAAATCAATGCCCAGAAAATGGCAAGGATTGTTGCAATGATGATGATGGTGGTGATGGTGGTGATGGTGGTGATGGTGACGGTGATGGTGACGGTGACGATGGCGATGGTGATGGTGGTGATGGTGATGGCGATGGTGGTAATGGTGATGGCGATGGTATAGGTGATGGTGATGGTGGCGATGGCGATGGTGATGGTGGCGATGGTGACGGTGGCGATGGCGATGGTGGTGATGGCGATGGTGATGGTGGCGATGGTGATGGTGATGGCGGTGGTGATGGTGATGGTGGTGATGGTGATGATGGTGATGATGGCGATGGTATAGGTGATGGCGATGGTGGTGATGGCGATGGTGGTAATGGTGATGGCAATGGTATAGGTGATGGTGATGGTGGCGATGGCGATGGTGATGGTGGTGATGGTGATGGTGGTGATGATGGTGATGGTATAGGTGATGGTGGTGATGGTGATGGCGATGGCGATGGTGATAGTGGTGATGGCAATGGTGATGGTGACGGTGTTGATAATGCTGCTGCTTTTACAGAGTGAGTAAACCTGGCCCAGTGTATGGACCCACCAAGGACCTTCCTCTGAAGCACTGGGCACACATTTCAGAAAGGAGCCTCCTTCTCATGTGCAGCTACAAACAGCATGTCCAGCAGATTAGGGCTGCCTAACCAATCTTGCAGCAGTCCCTGTGGACAGGTCTTAAGGAAGCTGAGGTCAGGACCGGGTGCCGTGGGTGCTCCAGCACAATGCTGTTTCCTGCAGGGGTTTAGACACAAGTGGGAAAGACATGCGTGGACTTGGGGAATATGAAGCCTCCGCGCTCCACAAGAGAAGAGGCCTCGTGAGCCTTCACAAGAGCAGTGGCCCAGGGCGCGGGGGGCGAGGCGGAAGGCTGGGCGGAGGCAGTCGTTCTGGACAGGGCCCTGAGACTGATTGACTGAGCCGGAGGTGAGGGTGAGGCCGTGCCAGGAGAGGAGGGCTCCTGCATCTGGGACCACTGACAGGACCGTGATAGGAGGTGGCTGGGACAGGCCCCAAGAGGCAGGTGGTCGGGTTCTCCAGTAAATGCAGAGGGAGGCCCTGTGAGAAAGGGTTCCAGCCTGGCCCATCTTAGAGCCGGGGCTCAGAAAGCCTGCCTCTCCCTGTGGCTCCGTTCCTCTCTGATGCCAGGCAGGCTCTGGCCTGTTTCTCCTGCTAGTCAAACTGATTTTGCAGGGAAACTCTATTTCGAAGTGAAAATTTCGTTACAACTTCAATTTATAACGCATCTGCTTGGGAGGTGCTGCGGCTGGCCGGGCTGGGGGTGTGGGCAGCTGCAGTGAGGGGACCATGCGGTCAGACGCCCCTTGGCAGAGCTCCAGGGCTCTGCTTCACACGGTCTGAGGCCTCGTGGCTCTGGCTGCCTGTGGTGGCCTTCACCCCAGCACCCTGGTCTGAGGTTCTGACTTCAGGGTATGAGCAGCAAAGGTTCCCGGGGAGGTGGTGTGCCAGGCTGGCAATGTGGGGTTCTTTGGTGGGGACGTGGTGTGTGCCAGGCTGGCAATGTGGGTTCCTCGGTGGGGACGTGGTGTGTGCCAGGCTGGCAGTGTGGGTTCCTCGGTGGGGACGTGGTGTGTGCCAGGCTGGCAATCTGGGGTTCTTTGGTGGGGACGTGGTGTGTGCCAGGCTGGCAGTGTGGGTTCCTCAGAGGGGAAAAGGAAGACTACATGACTGCTCACATGGTCCCGCCTTCCCAGGCCGGGGGCAGCCGGCGGTCACTGCCGGGTTACATCTGCTGGGCACGCGCGAGCAGCTCCAGATGCAGCAGGAGGGCCGCGTTCGAACGTCAGCTCCATCTTCTCACAATCGTTTCCCGCACCCCCTTGGCGCCCAGTGAAGGCAGCCTGCTCGTTTGAATGCATAATTAGCCCTGGCATTCTACCTCGCTAATTTCAAGGCAGGGGTAGGGAATGGAGGGGGTTTAGGAATTTGCATATTAATTTAGCCAAGGGAGAGAAAAATTGTTTACCACTTCCTTCGCATAGTTGCTCACAGAAGACTTAACTCTTTCCTGCTCTGCATCTGGGGCCTCGGGGAGAGGGCGCGCATGGGAGGTGCAGCCCGCGCCCCGTCCCGCTGCGTGTTCTCCAGGACAGTCCCTGAGCATGACCTGCTGGGCTCAGCCACAGCACCTTTTCTTTGCAGGAACCATGTGAGGGCTGCCTGGGTGCCCAACAATGTGGGGACAGGGGCTGCTGGGGATGCCCTCCTCTGCTGGTCCTCACCTGCAGTTTTCAGAAGCCAGAGATACTTGGGTACCCTAAGCCACTCCAGTGTCCTAATCTATTTTCTCCACAATCCTCCCTCAGCCCTAGACTGGGCATTAGTACAGGGCTGCATGGAGGGAGGCACCCATGCTGTCCCCTGCACCAGGGAGAGAGGGGCAGCTGGCAGTGGGTGAGGTCCCGCAGAGGCTTCGGGTCAGGAAGAGTAAGCATCCACCGGGGGAATCAAGGCAGGCTTCCCGGAGGCAGTGATATCTTCCTTGGGCCTTGTAGGGTGAGCATGCTTCCCCAAGCGAGGGGGCAGGTGAGTGGAAGAGCCTGGGGCCTGGGGCCACTCCAGAGACACCCGGGGAGCCCGGGCTATTTGTCCTGACATGATTTGAGTGGCGGCTTGTGAGGGCTCAGAAGTCAGGAAGGTTTGTGCAGGGCTCAGATGATAGACTGATGGACTAGGGCCTCTGCCAGCCAACAGCTCCACTGCTCCACGCTCCGTCTAGTCTGGAGCGGAGAACAATTTTTTTCTTTGAGACAGTCTCACTCTGTCACCCAGGCTGGAGTGCCGTAGTGCAATCTCGGCTCACTGCAACCTCCGCCTCCCAGGTTCAAGTGATTCTCCAACTCAGCCTCCCGAGTAGCTGTGCCACCACACCTTGCTAATTTTTGTATTTTTAGTAGAGATGGGGTTTCATCATGTTGGTCACGATGGTCTTGAACTCCTGATGTTGTGATCTGCCCACCTCGGCCACCCAAAGTGCTGGGATTACAGGTGTGAGCCACTGCGCCCGGCGGCGGAGTGGAGAATAACACCAAGGGCCACTGAGATGGCCGCAGCGTGTCCCCTTGGAAAGGGCCCAGTGCCTCACAGCAGCAGGCAGTACCAGTTCTCCCTGGAGACACGGTTTCCACAGCCATGCGTCTA